CGGCTACCGGGCGCGGTTCGTGAGCGGCGCGGCGCAGGCGGTGCTGCGGGACCTGGGCGCTGAGGGGCTGGCCCGGCTGCGCGGCGTGCCCTACGCGGAGGCCCAGCGTGTGCTGTGCTCCTTGCCCGGGGTGGGCGCCAAGGTGAGTGCGAGGCCCGGCGGGCGCCTGCCCTGCCCCTGCGCGCTGAGCCGGCGGTGACCTGCGTGTCCCGGCCCGGGCAGGTGGCCGACTGCGTGTGCCTCATGGCGCTGGACAAGCCCGAAGCCGTGCCCGTGGACACCCACGTGTGGCAGGTGGCGCGGCAGCGTTACGGGCTGGAGCTGGGCACGGCCGCAAGGAGCCTGACGCCGCGGGTCTACCGGGAGACGGGTGAGTGGTGGCGGCTCGGGCCGCAGCATACAAGGGCCCCAGCTCCCTGCTCACCCGGCTTCTCTCCGCAGGTGACTTCTTCCGGCAGCTCTGGGGCCCCCGCGCGGGCTGGGCACAGGCGGTGAGTGCCGGGGCCTCTGTCCTGCGCCGGGCATCGCGTTGGTGCCACCCTCACCCCCTTCTCTCCCCAGGTCCTGTTCTGTGCCGAGGTGACACGGCCGCAGGGGGCCCCGTGTGCCAGCGCCAGGCCCAAGCGGGGCCGAGCCTGTCACAGCCGCAGCCACCTGGGCCCCTCCTAGACCCTGGGGCTGAGGCAGGGGGAGGGCGGCTGGAGCAGGCCAGGAGGTGCTGTGTGCTGAAGCCCCATTCCCCATGGCCAGGGCCACACACTGCCCCTGCCCACACAGGGCCCTGCTGGCAGGGAGCTCGCGCCACAGGGGCTGGGGCTCTGCAGGGACCCTGGCCGTGCGCCCCCTGCCCTGTCACAGCACAGCCAAGTCCTTGTTTGTCTCTTTTCTTTAATACAAGCAACAAAATAGAAACAGCCATTCGAAAACATGTCTGGACATGCGGGGGCAGTGGCAGTGGGGCGGGTGGTGCTGACAGCACAGCCCAGGGTGCGGCCCCCTCCCCGGGAGCTGGAGCAGCAGGGGCTGTGCAGCGGGGGGTGCTCAGGCCCCTGGCTCGGGGCAGGCACGTGGGCTGGGGGACCCGGCCCCCCCTGTGGCAGGGCCGATCCCAGCTCAGTGGCCCCTCCAGGGGCACCAGGTTCAAGGCAGAGCAGGGCCTGGGTCCCCCTCAGCAGGGGCCCTGGGCGGGGGTCAGGGCTGCCAGGCTCTTTGCTGCAGCCCCCTGGCATCTCCTTGCTGGTTTCCGCTCCCCACCCTGGCGGCAAAGGGCTCAGGGCGGGCCCAGGCCTTGAGTTGCCCGGACGCACCAGCCAGGCGCGCAGAGTCCTACCCCATGCCCGAGCGGCTCAGCCCGTGACCTGGCAAGAGCAGCGGGGGCAAGGCTGGGCCCTGCGCACTGCGGGGGGCGTCAGTCCGGGGGCAGCTGCAGGCAGTCATTCCCTGGCGACCGGTCGCAGCTGCTGGAGTCGGAGCCTGCCAGAGAAGGGCAGCATCAGGCCGAGCCGCGGCCCCTTCTGGGGATGGGACAGGTGCAGGGTGCAGCGCAGGGCAGCACTTACCGTCGCTGGGGCCCGGCATGAGCTGGTCGCTGCGGCAGGGGCTGGTCGGCGTCGTGGGCCCCGGCAACTCCTGGCTTGTCCCGAGCTGCAGCTTTCGCATGTGCCGCACCACCGCCGTGGCATTGAAGGCTTGCTGGGGCAGGCACAGCATCAGCATCACTGGGGAGACCCCCACACCTATCCCCAGCGCCCGCTGGCCTCCTTGCTGGCCCTGTAGCTCCCTCAGCCAGTGCCCCCGCCCCACTGCACACAGCACCCCCTGCTGAGCCTGCAGCTGCCCCATGGCTAGTGCTACCCCCATGGCATATGGCTCCCCTGCGAGGATGGCTGTTTCCCCAGGGGCAGTGCCCCTGCTGGTGCTCTGGCTGCCGCACAGGCTGCGCTCCTGCCCCACAGCCCACGGCAACCCCAGCAGACCCTGCAGCTGCCCAGGGACCAGTGGGGCCTCCCTGCACACGGTGCCTCCTGCAGCTGCTTCTGCCCAATCTGCCCGTGCCCCCCACAAACAGGCAGCAGCCCCTGCCAAGTAAAAATCAAGGAATGAAGACAACATCAGCACCCCCCAACCCCAATGTGTCCACTCCAAAAGCTCCCAAGTGTAGGGTGCAACACAGCCCTCAATACTCCCAAATAAAGGCAGACGTGTGTGGGGGGTGCACAGCAGACCCTAATAACACCTCCACCACCACATACAGGGCAAAACAGACCCCCCCCAGCCCAAAGTACTCAAACTGGGCAGGACACCCAATTCCCCACCCCCAACACAGGGCAGAGCTATCCCCTCTGATGTCCCCAACACCCCCAAATACAGGGCAGCCTAGACCCTCCCCCATTTCAGGGTGGAACGACCACCCCAATACCCCAGAATCCAAATCAGAACAGCCACCCCAAAAGGGCTAACATGCCCCCGCCCCCCAACATCCATACATACGTGTATCAAAAGACACCCTCCCCCCCAACGCAGCACACAGGGCAGAATTCCCTTCCCCCCTTCAGCTACTGGATAGACGTGCTCCCCAAAGCCCCCCAACACCCCC